GTCAATTCAAACAAATGGGTGAGGCTTGTAATGTGGTTGCCAAAGAAACAGGATTATAGGCTTAAAGGGGTTAACTATGATATATAACAATTAGGTGGGTAAAAGCATATAACTGGCTCAACAAAGAAATGCCTATATCTCTTCCAAGACTGAATAAAACTACTATTTTGCTTTGCAAACACATGGGGCAAGTTCTAGACATCAAATTCAATGCACAGAATACATAAAACCTCAGACACACATGGCACATAACTCACTCAGGATTGGACTATCACGACACTCTAGTTAAAGCAATTAAGCAAAGTTAAAATCATACAATTTAAGGTACTTGTACAAGAGTCTTACTATTCTCATGGTATAATAAAGTCAAGAGATATTGCATGAAATTCAAATCACATTACAAGGTTTCCTATTCCTCTACAAAACAAAAACTAACTACACCCGGTTCAAACAAAACCCTTGGAATGGAACCGCGGCACAAAGAAAAACCAAGGGGGAATTAATACACTACCAAACAAAAGAAAATATTTTTATCTTTTTTCTTTCGACTTAAATCCCTCAAGAATCCTGTCGAATGATATCCATCGTCGGGAAAATTCGAAATCTTTTTAAATTCTTATGTTTTTTTCAATATTCCAACTACTACAACTAACAAAACTAACACATGTACATACAACATACAACTATCCCGCACCCCACACTTTAAGTTGTGGCATGTCCCTATGACACACAATTAAAAACCTTAAGGTAAAGGAAACTTCCCTAGATATCTAGTTACAGTCTGAGTCAAAGTCGGGCTCCATTCCTCGCCTTCGAACTAATGCACAAATTCATGCAGACAGCTTCTTCTCAGCCTTTTTGGTGTATACCCCACACTTATCTTTCTCGCTCACTGGAGCCTTCTCTTTCGAGCCCTTCACTTTCCACTCAACACTTGCAGCTAGATTTTCTTTTTGTACCCCCTTTGCTACATTCATCTCAAAAGTCAAAGTCTCCTCACCCACTCTAAGCATGAGTTTCCTTTCGTGTATATCCAATATTGCTCTACCCATCGCTAAGAATGGTCTTTCTAGGATGAGAGGGACCTCTTTGTTTTCCTCCATATTTACCACTATAAAATCCACAGAAAATACGAACTTATCAACCTTAACTAACACATCTTCCATAATTCCCTCAGGTATTATAGTCATTTGGTCATCCAGCTACTAAGATATTGGCGCCGACCTTATCTCTCCAATATCCAGTTTCCTATAAATAGATAGAGGCATTAAGTTAATCGAGGCACCAGAATCATATAATGATTTAACAAAATTAATTGTTCCTAATGAGATAGGTATAGTAAAACATCTTGGATCTCCATACTTTTATAGGAGTTTGTTTTGAAATATCACGCTTTAATGCTCTGTAAGCTTCACCACTGAAGTCTTTTCTACCTTCCTCTTCTTTGTTAGGATTTCCTTCAAGAATTTTTCATAAGCAGGCATTTTTGAGAGCACTTCTGTGAAGGGTAAGTTTACATGAACCTGTTTCAGCACATCCAGAAATCTCCCAAACTGCTTGTCCAGCTTTTCTCTATATAGCTTTTGAGGGAAAGGTAGAGCTGGAATCTGCTCGCTCTCATCATGTTCCTCCCTTCTCGATTTTTCTCCCTTCTTCTTTTTCTCTGCTTTCATCTGGCCCTTCTTCTTTTTATAAACATCATTCTTCAGATGCTCCCCACTTTCATTTTCAAGTTTCACATCATTTTGGATCGGGGTGGGATCTTTCAACACTTGCCCACTTCTCAGAGTTACAGTATTCGTTGTTTCTTTGGGATTTCTCTCAGTATCAGCAGGGAGAGTTCCTGGAGCCCTCTCGGATAATATTGTTGCAATCTGTACCACTTGTCTCTCTAGGTATTGAAAAGATGTGTCTAACTCTTTGATAGCTTCTCCATGGGCATCCATCCTCTCATCTGTCTTGATAATAAAGGCTTTCATTAGATCCTCTAGACCAGGCTGAATGGGCTGTTGAGGCTGATATTGCTGCCTCTGCTGATTTTGGTATGCTGGAGTTCCTTGTCCCTGGGTTTAGAGTTATTTTGTTGCCAAGCATTCACAGTACCTGCAGGTGAACTCCATGAAAAACTGGGGTGCCTCTGTCCCATTACATTGAAATTATAGTTTCCCACATCATTTACTTCCTCAATTGAGGCTTGACACTCATGAGTAGGGTGTCCTCTTCCACATATATAACAAGCTGCGTGAGGCTCATTTTGTATCGAGGCTACGGTAAGCTTTCATATTTCTTTAGCCATAGCATCAAGCTGTACATGCACAGATGTATGAGTATCAACTTGGTGGACACCAGTTGATCTTCTTCTTTTAACACTCTCATAGGGCCACTGATTAGCATCTTCAGATAACTCATCAATAATTGTAACTATCTCCTCTTGAGTCTTTTTCATCAGCGGGCCTCCAGCTGCATTGCTCAATGTTCTACGCGAGGCCGGTGTCAATCCATCCCAAAAGTCCTAGAGTTGCATCTAGAGTTCAATTTCGCTATGTTGAAACTTTCGAACAATCTCTTTAAACCTCTCTCATGCTTCAAAAATAGTTTCAGTCTCTTTCTAGCAAAAGTTATGGATTTCTCTTCTAAACTTACCCGTCTTAGCTGGGGAGAAATGTTTTTCAAGGAATTTTCTTGTCATCTCCTCCCATGTTCTAATCGATCCCGTGGGCAAGCTTTGAAGCCACTGCTTTGCATCATCTTTAAGTGAAAAGGGGAATGTCCTTATGTACACTGCATCTTGTGACACCCCATTGTATTGAAAAGTGTTCATAATCTCCTCTAAGTCCATTAGATATGTGTTTGGATCTTCGTTCATCTTCCCTCTGATGATACAGCAGTTCTGAATGGTTTGAAGCAACCCTTGCTTCAACTCGAAATTGTTAGCTACAATTGGAAGTGGTCTAACACTTGATAAGCCTTGAATGTAGACCGGTCTAGAATAATCGCCCCGTGATCTCCCAGGCATGGGGGCTATATTTCCGAACTGGTATGCAGCCAAGGGTTGATTCTGAGCAATTCTCCTACCCCTCTCTCCTTCATAGATAATAGGTGCATCTCTGATAGTTGCTTCCTCAGCATCGTGTGCAAGTTTTTCTTATTGTTGGGCTGCCTCCCTTGCAGCCAAATCTACATTATTATCAGCATTTCCAGCCATAAGTTCTTTGGTAGAGGATTGCCCAACATTTTCTAATTCTCGGTGAGAGTTCTTTCCTTCCTCAACTATCGCACTTATTTTTCTATCTCGAGCTCATATGGTAGCACTTCTTTCATAGAAGCTCGAGTCATGCACCAATCTAACATGTAACATGTGCACAATCAAAGAACACCAAACGTAAAAAGACAAAAATAAAATAAAATAAAAAGAAAAATTCCTGAATTAGCACTACAAACTATTTCAAACACTGTTGATTGCCAATCCCCGGCAACAGAGCCAAAATTTGACGAGCTTGAAACATATAGTTAAATTATGCTCGCTAATCAAATATAGTATAGTATAATATCGTATCCACAGGGATTGGATTTAAATAGTATTCATGTAGTTTCTAGCTTGACTTCTATCCAAGAGGATCAACAATTGAGATTTATAAGATGTCTAACTAAAATTAATTAAGAATCTTAAGCTATTGACTAATGACAATCAAAACAAGGAATACACAAAGAAGGTTATCAATGGGAGAAGATAGGGTTTTGATATGATAGGTGCAAGATAATTATTTGGGATCTAACTCTAGATAATTCACTTCTAATGTTCAAGTGAGTCTCATGAATTCACTCAATTATTAGTTCAATCATTCAGCAAACACTCCTCTCTCGATTAAGTTTTAACCTCACAAGATGAACCAGTTTAAGCACGTGAAGATATGCAAGAATGCGTAATGGATTGCTCTTCAGGAGAACCTCTCTCGATTATCCTCCTAACTAGGTTAAATCAATGATTTAACTAGCCTTTTTCAATAACTAAGAAAAATTAATGAACTCAACCAACAATATAACGCAAAGATATCACAAGTTATGCCTCTATCGATTACATAAACTAGTGAATATAGATGCAACAATTAAATCATCCAAAAATACTTCAATACATAAAGCTAGAGTTATAATCCACGAACAATCATCAATACACCAAAACCATCAAACTCTAAAGGAAACTACTCCATAGATATGGAGCAATTCATCACAAATAAAATTAAAGTATATGAATACATAAATTCAATCCAAACTCGGGTCTTGAGTGAGGAAGGAATTATGAAATCCTTGTGCTTGTGTTCTTCGAACCCCTCCTTAGCCTCCTTAGGTCCATAGTATGTCAAAAGTTCAGAAAATAACGTTTTCCCATGTATTTATACCAAGTAGGGTCGGGCCTAGATGAAACCACCTTCTCCTAGCCGAAATAGGAAAATAACTTAGTAAATATTGCACAGGCACGATGCATGGGGCCACGTGCCATGCGGGGCATTAGTGGGGAAAACCAGAGAGCTAAGTCCTGGTAAACAACAGAAGATTGCACAAGCGCGGCGCCCCATGTGCCGCGGCAGTGGAGATTTCTCAGAGTACGGATCAACTTCAATTTTTAACGTCCAGACTTGGTCCTCGACACCCAAACCGGATCACGGCTTAATCCCTTGGGCTTTTACTCAGACTTCAAAGATCTAAATATCTTGAATTAGCTCCACAACATCTACATAGCTTAGAATCACTCATACAATGCATAAAACACACAATAAGGGCAAAATACTATCAATTAAAGCTCAAATGTGAATAAAGTGAAGTGACCTAGATTGCATTAAGCGACTAAAATACGTAATTATAGCCTACCATCACACAGCACTCACATAACCATTGCACTGTATTATATTAAAGTTGCAAAACGTTTCCAAATCACTGTCATCTATGCCAAATGCAAAATAAGTTTGAGAAGACCTCTTTGGGAAACCCTGAGACATAAATCTATGACATGTTCAACACCCTGGTGTGTCATTGGAGACTTCAATGTGATTGCATCTGTTGAAGAAAAGATTGGGGGTCTTCCTTATCAAATGAATAAAAACATGGATTTCTTGAGCATGATTGAAGATTGTGGATTTGTGGATCTAGGCTTCTATGGTCCTAGATACACTTGGTCAAATGGGAGAGGCCAATGCTCTATTGTTTGGAAGAGACTGGATATGGGATTGGTCAATGATAACTGGCTAGTATCCTATCATGCAACAACTATCACTCACCCCTCATCTGCAAGATCTGATCACAACCCTCTTCTTCTAGAAATGAATGTGAGACAGGACACAAGCAAAAGATACTTCAAGTTTCTCAATTGCGGGTTTGAAAATGAGAACTTCCTTCCACTAGTTCAGGAGGTCTGGAATAAAGAAGTCAATGGCAATGCCATGTGGATTTTTTATCAAAGGCGTAAAGCTTTGTCCAATGCTCTAAGCAAATGGTCCAGTCAATAATATGGAGATATCTTTCTGTAGGCCAAAGAATATGAACACAAGTTGAAGCAAGCTGAGATAGTATGGGCGCAGACCAATGATGGCAATGATAGACAGGACTTTCATGAACTTCAAGATAATTATGTGAGATATATGAAGATAGAATAGTCCATCCTAAAACAAAAAACAAAACTACAATGGTTTAAAGAAGGGGATGCCAATTCCAGATACTTTCACAACCTGATTAGAAGGAGAAGAAGGAAGTTGTTCATACATAAAATTAAAGATGATGAAGGAGAACGGGTTCATAGGGATGAGGCTATTGGGGAAGCAACATGCACATATTTTCGAAACAACTTCAATGAAATAAGAGGTGCTACCAGAGAAGACCTAGTATCCTGTATCCCATCCTTGAACACAGCAGAGGACAATGGTCTCCTTACTAAAGATCCCACCTTGGTAGAACTCAAGGAAGTGGTCTTTTCAATGAATACATGAAGTGTTGCAGAACCTGATGGAATGAATGGAAAGTTCTTCAAATCATGCTGGCACATTATCAAAGTTGACTTGTTGAATGTGGTTCTGGACTTCTTTAGAGGTGCTACTATGCCAAAGTTCATGACCAGTGACTGTTTAGTCCTTCTACCAAAAGTGGAATTTCCTAACTCTTTTACAGAATACAGACCAATTAGCCTCAGCAGCTTCCTGAACAAGATCATATCCAAAAATATTAGTTATAGACTAGCTCTTTTCCTTCCCAGAATATTATCTGCAAATCAGTCTGTCTTTGTTAAAGGAAGAAGCATTTCAGAAAATATAATGTTGACACAGGAAATTGTTCAAGGTATTAAAAAACCTAACATTGGCTCTAATGTGGTCATCAAGCTTGGCATGGCCAAAGCTTATGATAGAGTTTCCCGGGGATTTACATGCATAATGCTGAGAAGGATGGGTTTTAATGAGATGATCATTGACATGATATGGAGAACAATGTCAAACAACTGGTACTCTGTCATCATAAATGGTACTAGATGTGGATTCTTTCATTCTACTAGGGGACTGAAACAAGGTGATCCACTAGCTCCATCTTTATTTATCATTTGAGCTGAATTACTATCCAGAATGCTCAACATTCTGTCTCATGATCAGTTTTTCAATGGTTTCTATATGGAGAAGAGAGGACCACAGATCAATCATTTGAGTTCTGCTGATGATATCATCATCTTCACATCTGGCACCAAGAGCTCCTTAAAGAAAATCATGCAGATCCTCAGTAAATATGAGGAAAATTCTGGTCAACAGATCAATAAACAAAAGAGTCACTTCATGACCTCTCCGTCTTTTTTCAATTATACTGTCAGAAGAATCCATCAAGTAACAGGTTTCACCAAGAGAGAATATCCAATCACCTATTTAGGTTGTCCTCTCTACACTGGCAGAATGAGAAATGTGTACTTAAATTCCATCGTGGCCAAAGTAGTAGGTAGGATCAAAGGATGTCAAAGCAGAGTTCTCTCATATGGAGGAAAAGCTACATNACCCACCCCAAAACTGTCTTGAAGCAGATTGAAAAAAAGGCTGCTGATTTTTCCTAGGGCATGGAAAAAGACAGGAACAAATATCGATGGTCATCTTGGCATAGACTATCATTTCCTATGATTGAAGGAGGAATTGGTTTTAGAAAAATAGAAGATGTCTGTCAATCAATGAGATTCAAATAATGGTCGATATTTAGAACTAAGACCTCTCTCTGGAGCAATTTTTTTAGAGCTAAATACTGTCAAAGATCACACCCAATATCTATGAAATGCGATACAGGACAATCACAAGCTTGGAAGAAGATGATGTCCATCAAAAAAGAAGCAGAGAAAATATTCAATGGAGGCTGCACTCTGGAAATTGTAGCTTTGGGTGGGATAACTGGTTGGGTACATGTGCACTTGCTAATTACAGAAATGAAGGGGTTGACCAGGTAAAATTACAGCTGCTCATTTCTAGGAAAATGGACAGTGGAACCTTCAAAAGTTGAACAGGACTGCTCCAGCTCATTTGATTTATCTCATCATGCAAACTCCCATCCATTATATGCCACAGTCCCAAGATCACCCCTTTTGGACACCCGCAGTGACAGGGCATTTCACCTATGCTTCTGCCTAAGAAGTGATAAGGAACAAGAAGCAACCCAACTTTACCAACAAAATGACATGGCACAAAAATAACCCATTCAAGTGGTCCTTTTGCTTATGGAGAGCCCTCAGAAATAAGCTGCCTACAGATGACAGGGCAATATCATTTTGTTACCATATGTGTATGTTGTATTAGACTTACAACTGAAATAGTTGATCATATCTTCAGTAGAGGCAACTTTTCTACATTTGTATGGAAGAAATATGGAGGGCCAGCTGGAATCAAAACTGAAAATATGCCACTAAGATTGCTCCTTATAAACTGGTGGTTACAGAAAAGAAACAATGAGGTTAAGAAGTTAATCATGTACACATTTCCTATCATCATTTGCTGGAATTTGTGGAAGAATAGATTCTCTACAAAGTATGGTGGAAAGAGGTCTTCTATAACTAGAGTCATGTTTTCCATTAATTCTGACATTCACATGTTGCTTCATGCAACTTACCCTACTATCAACTGGACTCAAAGATGGGTGAATTTTTATTCTATCATTCAGGACATCAAGCATTGCACTACTACTCAACAGGTTTTCTAGACTAAACAAAATGCCAATTTGTTAAAGTCAACACTAATGGTAGTGCACTGACTAATCCAGGTAAGATAGGTGGTGGTGCCATCATTAGAAACCACCTAGGGGAGTTTCTTCAAGCAATTGCATGCCCTTTGGGTGAGGGTACCAACAAACATACAGAAATAGAAGTTGCATTCATTGGTATCCAGCGGTGCATTGCCAATGGATACAACAAAATTCACCTTGAAACAGACTCAGATCTTTTGATCAATTGGCTGAAAACCAACTCTGATCCTCCTTGGGCCTTAAAATGAATCTGCAAAAGCTGAGAAACTTGTGTCTTCAATGTGAGGAAATTCATTACTCACATGTATACGGAGAAGCCAACTATCCTGCACACTCTTTTTCCAAGCTTAGCTATGACTTGAATGCATTAACTCACTTCACCAGTGTCACCACATTGCCTACTCATATCGGGGGTCAAATTCAACTAGATTTCCGGAATACCCCTACTTTCAGATACAAGAAAACACACAGAATTATCCCACCACCTTACTGTGTCTCTACTTCATCCCATGGTTATGGGTAAAATAGTATTCTTAAAATAGCATCACTAAAATCCCCATATATCCAAATCCATGAAAGACAAAACTCCAGCATTCTTGGAAATGGACACTCACTCCAGTTTTTCACTAACATGTTTGTTCTCTTGTGCAGGTTCTCTGAGCACACTTCTAACAAATATTCAATTCTATAAGAAGTGTAATACTTGAAACTTCTCACACCTAATAGTCACCCAATCCATGTACTTTAACCTACCATACCGAAAGCCACCAATACACTACTCTAACAGTAACACACATCTTTCTTTTCACCCTCATATCTCCCGATTATCCAAGCTCAACTACAAACTGTAGTATAGACCATTTCCTTCTTCCAGACTCACTCCCCCCCCCCTATTCTTAAACACCCCTTACATCTCATTTCTACATGTACTCAGAATCCACAAGAAGATGAAAGCACACAGCCATCAACATAAAAATAGTTTTTTCACTAACCTTGCTCTCTTTTTTGCTGGTACAAGTAACGATGGTATACTCAATCATTTGACTTACCCTTAGTGTGTGATATTAGCAATATCAAGGATCATTCTACTGAGTGTTAGTCAAAGGTTCACAGTATCCCATAAACCTCTTGCAATTTTGAAGAGAAGATCCTGTAGCATTTATCTTCAGAAGCAACTATCTCACCCCACCAACTCTAACTCCACCACACAAGCTTTCAGATACCACAATAACCTAAAAGCAACACTTCTTATTCATACACACAAGAACAATAGCAACAATGGTCATAACATGCAGCAGTTCTGCTCTACTGCCAGCAATGCCACAACCATTCACTAGAAGTAAAACAATGGTGCCCCTTTATTACTAACTTGTTTACTGATTTTTGCAGTTACAATTGATAGGTCCAGATCATTGGTGCACTTCCAAGGTGTGGTATTAGCATCCCATATGCTCAATCTGTTGGAAATGCATCAGTTTTCTAGGGCCTGTCTTGATGATCCTTCCAATATCACACACAATTTTGGGTACACCAGGTCCATTCTCAGGTTTCAAATGCTAGGTCCTCACAAGAACATAACTAGGGGCACAAACCTTGGCCATCATACCACTACTGTTACCAGAGTTCAATAGCAGAAGTCTACATACTGCATCAACTTTAGCTTGGAGAATAATGTGTGTGGTTTATACACCAGTTACTAGCTGATACAAGTCCAGTCCCTCTTTACAGTCTTCTAGATATAAACTCCAAGGCTAAGCTCAATCTCATCTGTCAGCATTATTATTCAGAGGCAGCAAGATCAGTCAACTACAAGGATCTCAGTCATTACTGTCTTCAATGTGGCTTTCTTTGCTCTCATTGTGAAAGCTAAATTGAAGACAACTCTTACCATACACATCTGGTTTTTGGCACATTTCAAAGAGAGGATACACATACCTTCTAGATATAGGTTCTTTTGTTTGTCGAAGATGTATTCCCAAATTTCTTACATAGTTGCTTTAGATTCAGTGGTTTGTATAGTTGACCTAGGTTAATTTCACATTGTTTTTGTATACACAATTGTGTGCCAATTATGGATAGGCAATTGGCATTTCATCATAGGTCTAACTTCACTCATTGTGCAAGATTCAATTGATTGTCATTTTTGGACAATCAATTGTTTATCCACCATAGATTTGGAGGTAAGGTCCATGTCCCCCTCATTTGTTGTACTAGTTGTTATTTTATTTATAAAAACTAACCCTAGGCACAAGGCCTA